GTCCTCATCGACTCACTGAGCTCCCAACTAAAACACATCCCGTCAGTAACGACGGAGCCAGTGGCTTCAGCAGCGCACAGCAACTGCAGCGGTTGTCTGGGCTCCAAGGCAAACAGTAACTCTTGATCTTCATGCAACTACTTTTCACAGATGAACAAAATGAACATAATGTGGGAGGGTCGCATCTACAGTCCACGTGCTACATGTTCGATATTACTCGAAGATTTCAACGAAATCTGGTGTTAGAAGTTTACACGTTATTGCTGGGCGAATTTAATTTTTGTTCATTTCGGTCTAATATAATCCATAATTTCTTTGCAATTCAAAGCAGACTCATTTCTTCTTCCCCCCAAATGACTCATTTTTAAAGAACTGGCAAGTGTAAAGATAGAGTTATCCCTAGGCTTAATTAATTAAGCACCACTCCATGATGTCGTATAAAGAATGGAGGTATGGCTCCACTATTCTTAACCTCGGTATTAGACGAAAGTGAGTGGTCAGCTTTACGTCTCTGGTGCATTACCCCGGGGGAAAGAGCCCCCGGCAGTCACTTGATAGGAGGCTGGGTGGGGCCCACAGCCGGTCTGGGAGATGTGGAGTTGAGAAAAATCTCTGCCTCTGCCGGGAAACAAACACTAGTCGTCCAGCCAGTCGCCCGTAGCTGTACCGACTGAGCCATCCCGGCTGGTGCATCACATGCATGTTACTTGCAGCTTACTTAAGAAGGCTGTCAGTAGATGGCAGTATTATTATTTTTATTTTTCTCCTGGGTTGAGACGTGAGTCCACTTGCTACTGCGGCCACTTCTGGCTTATTGTACCAGCCACAGATGATAGGTGAGGGTGACTGTGGTGCAATTGGTGGAATGAAGATTGGCAGGGGAAACCGAAGTATTCGGAGAAAACCTGCCCCAGTGCCACTTTGTCCACCACAAATCCCACATGACCTGACCCGGACTTGAACCCGGGCCGCCGCGGTGGGAACCCGACGACTAACCGCCTGAGCTATGGCACGGCCTTAGATGGAAATATACTCGTATATGGCCGACTGACTGTGAACACCGAACTGGAAAGGACGGGGACGGTCGTGGACTATTTTTAAAAGAATGTAGTCTTCTGGGATGTGGCGCCGTGTGCATATTTTTAACCAACGTTTCGGAGGAACGTATCTTCAGGGTATAAGAAATCCTCGAGCGATGAACCAGCGTGAACAGGCGTCTGTATTCTTATATCCTGCATTCTTATACCCTGAAGATGAAGGCGATATGTTACTCCGAAACCTCGGTTAACAAAATATCAACACGGCGCCACATTGCAGAAGGCGACATTGTTCATAGTCACCGCCGTGGAAACCTCAAATCCTACATCATTTCAATATACCATGCCAGTACTTGTGTGTCTGAACTAAGAAGAACCAGTAAAAATCGTCGGTGTTCCGGCCGAGATTCGAACCGGTTACCTCACGAACACGAGTGAGCCGGCGTGCTCAGTTCCAGTACAGACATCACTAAGCCCATCAAGATCTACACAGTTTGATGAGGCAAACGTCTAACAAAATGCACGGTGAAACGTCTCCGACTCTGTGCAGTGTGATACCAAACAATACGGTTGTATCGTCGATAAATGAACCAAAGACGCATGCGAAACTGTACATAATCCTTCTGAAGATATTATTACACAAGCTGCATTAGATTTCCCGTCGAAATACAATCCAAGGATCTGTCGAATTATTTTCCCCAATTGTTGATGTAGCAGGGGTGGGGGAGAAGAGGAATGCATATAGGGTATTGGTCGGAAAGCCAGAAGGAAAGAGACCACTAGGAAGACTAATAGGTAGACCGGTAAGAAAAAAGTAAAACTATCTCTGTACCAGGCGGTGAAGGCCCATAGGATTGTGAGATATTGAGGGTCCCACATTTTCTAGACAGTCAGCTCATAGATTGCGGTAAGGTTTTCAGCCTTACGCGCCGGCCGCGCTTTACTCTACAGGAAAATTATTTAATTAATTCCTGGTACTCATTTCTGTTAGAGGTTGAGTCGACCCCAGGGCCATAGTGCGGCTGGAAGAATGAGGTCAATTGAAAAAATCCAATGACCTCATCGGGACTTGAATCCGCGACCTTCCGGCTTGTAGCATAGTGCTTCAAGCAACTACGCTACCGCGTGCCCCGATATAGGTAAACTGGTGGATAATATTAAAATGGATCTTAGAGAGATAGGTTGGAGTGTTATGGACTGGATCGATTTGGCTCAGAGCTCTTGTGAAAGCGATAATGAGCCTTCAAACAAAAAAAAACTCCGTGGTTTTAGTCCGCAAGCGAACTATACCGACCGAGCGACCGCCGCTTATCGGCGAAGTTAGTGCCAAATTTAGCTGATAGTGTGTGTTGCGTGGTCAGCGCAACGAATCTCCACGGTCAATAATTTCGGTTTTATAGGCCGGAGCCGCTTTTCCTTGAAAGAGCTTCTCAATTATCCTCACGAGGCTGAGTGAACCACGTTCCAGATCCACTACTTCTCAGAAAATCGGGTAGCGCCGAGAATCGAACCAGGACCTCTGGATCTGTAGCCAGGAACGTTGACCACTAGACCACAGAGGCGGTCGATAATGGGACTTCGGGTTCTCTGAATTGCTGGGAAGTTCTTGAGTAGCTGCACAATTGGCGGCTTCTCAAGAAGGGCTCATCTACACAAAGTTAGCCGGTTAGTTGCTTGTTCTTCTAAGGGTCATTCCATGTGAATCCGTCCAGAAAGGTCGCTCGCCATTTTTTAAAAAATTCCAATTTTGTACACATATTTCTACATATTTTCACACCTCAAAAATATTTTTAAAAAACTGTAATCCGCTCGGTTCTCCCCGTACAGCCGTTTTTATAATGTGAAAAAACGCGTTTTCGGCTCAAATGGAGGTTTGCGTTATCTTCTGTATCTCGATAACTATTGAAGCTAGAGACTCCAATGAAAACCCAATTTGTTCCTCATGATATAGATAACAAATCATATTATTATAAGCTTTTACTCAACTCACTTCCTCTCGGTGTAATTAAGCTTGAAACTTACCTATCGATTTTGGGAAGAACGCTAATTTGTACCTTCAGGAACCAATAGGAGGGCGAAGTATCACATCTGTGGTTTCTACCCTTTGTTTTATCCTACATGAGGAATACAGTCACATAGTTTTGAACCCCGTACCTATTTTCCAAAATTTTCCAGGAGCTTCCAAACTTTGCTCTGGGCCCAAAATCGACCATTTTTAACATCTCGTATCTCCTGTGGGGAAGCTCCGAAAAATTTGAAATTCATAGCAAACAATGCTCTATTCTGGAGTAACTTGAAGTTAAAATTACAACTTTGATATTCAACTAATAGCGAAGTTGTGGGCACTTTGAATTTTACCAAAAAAAAGTCAATACCTCAACAATTGGCTTACCTGCATCCAGTGGTATTAGTTCTTTGTGTACTCCGATGAAAATTGTACAGTTTGTTTGAGTACACGTAGTTCAGTAAGTGCCCACTATCACGATGTCTTCGAAATCATCGGTCTTGGATGTTTTATAACACCTGACCCTGTTTTCCTCCAGAGGGACGACCCGGTGTTTTTCTCTTGTGTGGAGCACAGTTTTACACTTATGGAACCTGCTTTTTAGAATGATTTCATTTCTTGCAACTTCCTCTTTTGGCACAAAAAAGTAAACTATTCCTGGGATATTTTCTGTGCAGAATGTTTACAGTTCTAGCGGGCACATGATTTCATTAAAAGGAGTTCTTTGAAGACTGGCTTCCGCTGCTTGCCTCTTCGTGGTGCCGCCAATAACGTCACAGGCATTCTTTCCGTGCGAGGTGGCAAAGAAGTTCAATTCTGCTTCAGGTCCGAAGTCTTCAAGTGATGACATAAATTGGAAAGATTCTTTTTGTTTCTATATTGGCTTAAAGCGCCATCACTGAAACAAATAACTTTCCTGACTGAAGGCACATTTTCTTTTATATCGGCGATAAGAAATTTTTGGAACACAAACTGTGGCTCTATCGTGCTTTACATGATCATTGATTATACACAAGCTTCGGCATTTTGTTATACTGTCCGCCTTGTAGTAATACACAAAAGGGTGAAGTGTAGCCTGTTAACTTACCCAGTGGAAACTTTGAATCTCGTCTTGAACGAGAAAAGAACAATTTTCTGCAAAATTTGTAAAATTCAAAGTGCCCACAACTCCGCTATTAGTTGAACATCAAAGTTGTAATTTTAACTCCAAGTTTCTCTAGAACAGAATTTCAATTTTTTTTCGGAGCTTCCTCACCGGAGATATGAGATGTTAAAAATGGCCGATTTTGGGCACAGAGCAAAGTTTGGAAGTTCCTGGAAAATTTTGGAAAATAGGTACGGGGTTCAAAACTATGTGATTATATTCCTCATGTAGGATAAAACAAAGGGTAGAAACCACAGATGTGATACTTCGCCCTCCTATTGGTTTCTGAAGGTCAAAATAGCGTTCTTCCCAAAATCGATAGGTAAGTTTCAAGCTTAATTACACCGAGAGGAAGTGAGTTGAGTAAAAACTTATAATGACATGATTTATAGTCCATATCTTGAGAAACAAATTGGTTTTTCATTAGCGTCTCTAGCTTCAGTAGTTATCGAGATACAGAAGATAACGCAAACCTCCATTTGAGCCGATAACGCTTTTTTTCACATTATAAAAACGGCTGTACCGGGAGAACCGAGCGGATTACAATTTTTTTAAAATATTTTTGAGGTGTGAAAATACGTATAAATAAGTGTACAAAATTTTTTTTTTTTAATGGTGAGCGACCTCTCTGGATGACTTCACATGGAATGACCCCTGCTCTACTGTTTGTGCGACAACTCACATCATGTTGCTTGTGATTCCCTTACATGTAATGTCCCTACTTCCGATTAGTTTTCCTATAGGGGAACAGATGAACATGATGATGCAAAATCGTTAGGAACTTATGCGCATATTCTGGGTATGATGTCCTTACCGGATCCCTCGCCGTCGATGTCAACTCGCCAGCCGTGGCCAGTGTTGACGACCTCGCGAGTGTTTTCGGGGACGTAGTTCCAGGTGAGTGGCTTCGAGTCGAGGGAAGTGTCAGAGGTCGCTAGTGACGTCACAATGTCCACAGGGGACTGGCGACTACCTGCAGCTGTCGGATAATTCTTGGCCCATGTGGATGGTCCTGCAAAGCAAAATTATTATTGCTATTATTATTGACGACTCTATAAGCACTGACGGGGGCCACTGGAAGGGAACTCCTGCACTTAGTAAATGGTTAACACGCCTGACAGCAACACAAGTGGTTGTTCCAGGTATCACACCCATCCTGGAAATTGTTTACATATTTATTATCAAATCTTCTGAGGTGTTAGGACCAAACAAGCTGAATTTTGTGAAAATGTCTACTCTATGAACTATAACATTATTTGTTTCTGAGACATGGCTAAGCGACCTGTGTTATGATCACAGATTACAGACTGCTATACAGTTTTCCGTTCTTAGAGGTGTCTGCAGATGAGACACGTGGCGGTGGAGTTCTCATTGCCCTGTACTCCAGACTTCGCTCCTGCAAACGTAGGTACGATTTAGAATCTTGTGATGAATGTGTATGGGTTGAAATCCCAAGTTTTGACGGTCTTGACTTCTTCATCGAAAACCTTTACGAGTGCTACCGGAAAGTTCCCGGACTACCCTACTCAATTCTGGCTGCCATCGCCTTCAAAATAGTCTCAATGGGAACGTATACAGCAACCCCATCGTTTTTTCCATGCTTCAGAAGCACCATGGAAGCCATTTTCCTTAATGCTGTTGAGTACCGCTTGCAATTCCCTTTGGATGTCAGACTCTGTTTCAAAACGTCGTCCCTTCAGTTTCATTTTCAGTTTGGGAAACAATTCGAAATCACAGGGGGGCTAAGTCCGGCGAGTGGGGAGGATGGGGAACGCTAACCCTGCTGTTGTTATTCACAAACACTGATTTTCAGGGACGTGTGGGCGGGCGCGTTGTCATGACGAAGGAGCCAGTTGTGGTTACGCCAGAGTTCCGGTCTTTTTTGTTGCACATTTTCTCTCAAGCGTCTCAGAACGTCACAGCACTAGTTAAAGTCAGAATTGACCGCAGTGCTAGGAGGAACAAATTCACGGTGAACAATCCCCTTCATGTCGAAAAAAAAATGAGCATGCTCTTTGTTGAACTCTGGTCCTGCCGCGCCTTTTTTGCTCTTTGTAAATGTGGGCTCTTCCACTGCGACGATTGTTGCTTTGTTTCTTTATCATAAGTGTAGATCTAACTTTCGTCACCCGTGATGATCCTAGAGATACCAGTAAAAGTTGGGTCCTCGTTAGCCTTTTCTCGTAGTTCAAGACACACCTTTACGCGCCGTTGCTTTTGATCATTTTTGAAGGGTCGAGGCACAAATTTCGCGGCAATGCGGCGCATGTTCAAATTTTCTCTTAAAACCTCCTGGAAGCCTCCATAACTGATCCCAACGGTGTCTGCAAGCTCATGGATTGTTCGGCGACGGTCTTCGTGGACGAGTTCTCGAATTGTTTCAACATTTTCTCTCTTGTTTCCGGTGCTAGGTTGCCCTGTACGTTCATCTCGACCGACCTTGAAATGTGAATGCTATTAAAAATCCCCTGTCCGACTTAAAGAATGTTCTCCAAATGCCTCAAGAAGCATTTCAAGGGTTTATGTAGCTGATTCATGCAAAACGTGATGCAGACACGTTGCTCGATTTTGCCATCCATCGCAGACAAAACGAAACAAGAAGTAAAAAAAAACACTCCTGTAAAAACAATGCACGTTCACAGGGCGGTGTCACGTGGCAGACTGATGCAATAGGCTTGTAGAAGTGTGACCTTGGCCTTCCCTCTCATCTTCGTTCTCCGAGGCAGTTACAACAGTATGGGTCTGGAAACTTTCCGAAAGTACCTGGTAGTTTCCCCCTTACACTAAACCTGAAATCACTGATAATTACTTTTGCCTTTTAGAAAATAAGCTGGACACATTTAATTTTCGTATTATTAAGCTTGGGGATTTAAAAACTTCTGATTTCGACTTGAAAAGTTGTCTACATCTGCCTAACTCCCATTATCGTTCTAAACTTATGGGAGATGCGATTTACACCTCCACGTGTCTTCTTAACCTTAGCGAGTGCACTGATACTGTCGGCAGCAGTAATCTACTTGACCTAATCTTTTCCAACGTAAGCGACGTATGTATGTATTACTCCTGTTGACCTTTGACTTCTAAAGTCCGATAATTTTCAAGATCTCTGATTATCAGTATTCCTCTGCCCTTTGTCACTTGTATACAGAATTATGAAAGTTCTTATTGTAAATTGCAGACTGGGGATTTTACACTGCTTTATAGTACTCTCTCAAGTGATGAATGGTACTATCCCCGACAGTTCTGCTGTCACCAGCCTCGGTGTGGCTGCTCAAGATGCCGTGGAGCAGGTAATTCCCCGTGGCGTCATAAACTCTACGTCGAAATTCCGAGACTGGTATTCTAGCTCCTTAAGCTATTTTATTAGGAAAAATCATTATTTTTACACACGCTTTAAAAAAAGAAATCCGACTGACTTTTCCAAAGTTTTTCTTTCTATTATAAACTATTTAACGCTACTATTAAGTGCGACAAACTTATATGGTTGAAGTCTGTTGATAACAATTTAAAGTCGCAAGCGAAGAACTTCTGGAATATATGCACAGATTAACTGTTACGTTAGTTATATCTAAGGTTCAATATGTGTCCGTTGTTTCGAATTCGATTACGTCAACTGATGCCAACAGCTGGAACGCATCCAGCAGAGGTTTGAGGCCTTCTGTTTTAATCATTCTTTTTTCTTTTCCTCAAGTCCGCTACTGCTGTTCTCTTGCTTTGGAGGAGTTAAAATTACACGTTTTACGTATGACGAAATATCGCTTCGATGCACCGTATCTCATTCAAGTTTACTTTGGCTTGAAATTTTGCCCTTCTGTTCTGGAAACTGTTGGCCTCAGAGTTCCTGCTCGGTATAGCAGAGACTCTGCCTTGTTCAGTGTCTGCTCCTCATGTAACAACTGTCCCTCTGCTAGATGTGCAGCAGCTGATAATGCTGTTTGCAGGGATGTTGACGTATTCGGAACCAAGGACGATCTCCTAAATCACAATTTGTCAGAATCTCAAATATACTCGTGACTTTAGAAAACTTGTAAGAAAATGAGGTTCTTAGTAGGGCTTTGAAAGTTATTAGAGATATGTAATTAAGAGAAGAATATGATGGGAAGGGAATAATTAAGTAGTAGTAAAGAAAGTAAAGTAAAACTATCCCTTTAAGAGGCCATGTAGGCCCATAGGGTTGTGGGATGTTGAGGGTCCCACATTTTCTAGACAATAGGCCCACAAAGGGCGGTGAGGTTGTCAGCCTTATGCGCCTGCCGCGCTTCACCCCCAAGAATATTCCTGGCACTCATTTCTGTTAGAGGCTGAGTCGACCCCAGGGCCGTAAGGAAGGTGGAAGGATTAGGTCAATTGAAAGAAATCCACCTCATCGGGATTCGATCCCGCGACCTTCCGGCTTGTAGCATAGTGCCTCAACCAGCTATGCTATAAGTGGGAAGGTGGTCTAGTGGTCAGAGTTCCTGGCTACAGATCCAGAGGTCCGGGTTATATTCTCAGCGCTACCAAATTTTCTGAGAAGTAGTGGGTCGGGAACGGGGTTCACTCAGCCTCGTGAGGATAACTGAGGAGCTATTTCAAGGAAATAGCGGCTCTGGTTTTGAAAACCGAAATTAACGACCGTGGGGATTCGTTGCGCTGACCACGTGACACCTTCTATCCGCTAAAGTTGGCACTAACTTCGTCGACAAGCGGCGGTCGCTCGGTCGGTATAGTTTGCTTGCGGACTAAAACCGTGAAGTTTGTTTTGTTTGCTTTAGTTGAGCGGCTAACACTTTAACGCGATGCACTGTGTTTCATGGAGTCGAGTAGAATGGAAGTGAACAAAAGTACGCTATAAGAATTGAAGTACCTTATTTTTCACAGCTCATGACTGATTTCTGATATCAGAGAACATACCGTATTTACGCATGTATAGGCCGCGTGCGTGTATAGGCCGCAGCACAATTTTCAGACAGAAATTATAGAAAAAATAATTTTCTTGGAATATTATTTCAGGAGTATTACACCCTGTATTACTAATTATGAATATTTATTTTTTTTAAATGAAGTGTGATTTCGAATATTTCGAATATAAGCCGCACCCCAGTTTTCCTCTTGAATTTTTGGCAAAAAAATGTGCGGCCTATACATGCGTAAATACGGTATTTGTCTGTACAGGAGTGAAGAAAGCGACACGACCCAGTTGGACGCAAACCTCGGCCTAAACAGTGCGTGCACTATCTATACGTACTTGTGCTCTTTGCCTCAGGCACAAGAATTATTGACAGCACTACACTTATATTTAATCATTGTCCTACTTCTGCAGCTGGGACAGAAGCCTCACGAACTATTCAATATTCAAGCTTGTTTATCTGCGCGGGAAACCCCCTCTTTCAGTTCGATACTTCTCGATAAATCAGACTAACAACGACCTGCATGTTTCAGAAGACGTCACCGGACGATGTTAACATGTTCTAGTGAGCAGCCACGTTCTGCGTACATGGGAACTATCCTGACCGACACTTCATGTGACTTTCCTCAGTCACGCCAGGCGACTGGCGAGATAGTGTGTTCAAATAGTCCACGACCGCTTCCTTTCCAATCCTTTCATGCTCATGGGACGCGATCATTCTGTTATGTAACAGGTGCAGTTGATACAGCATCGACTAAATGATTAAAAAGTAATGATTTTTCCGTCACTTGATATACTTTACGAGGATTTCATTCGTACTAACACATAATAAAATGTGAGAATATAACATTTTAAATACAAATTTATTACGGTGAATATTTATGCACTATATTGAAATATCCCCTCGTTGGTGTCTCCACCTTATCGTTGTGAGGGGGTTTGAGTATGCCAAGGAGCCTGAGAGCTATACCAGAGGTAGCGTAGCTACTGGCAGGGCCTCCCTTGCTGGACAGGTCAAAGGGTAGGCATCAGACGAAGAGAGACACCGAAAACTGATGCCGGAAGCAGCGTCATCAGCAGCGACTTGAAGCATAGAGCAAATGATGCTCGAGATGGTTCAAGTT